CGCGGGTCTCGAACCTGTGGGCTCAGGAAATCCACTCACCTCAGCCTCCCAAAGGCACGGGATTACAGGCTGAGCCACTGAGCCTGGCTTCATTTGATTTTCAATGAGAAGGAATATAATAGATTTGAACTTTTGAGAGACTGGATTTCTGATTTTTGAATGGTAGGATGGTTTAGCTTTCAGTTAATTATTACCACAAATTTAACTTTATGTAGACAACACAGATTAACAGGACAGGATAGCATTATTAATTTGAATTTTATAGATTCTGTATTGACTGTACATGTAAGTTTTGTTTTCTTTTTATATCAGTCTATTAATTCTTACATGTTCAAGTACATCAGAGTCTCAGGCTAGAGGTAAATGTGAAATAATAAACGTGGGTAATGTAGTGGATTTGGGAAGAAAAAAAATGAATAGGATGTGTGCATAGCTCTTTTTACTTTTCTACTTTATCCTTTTTCTCTCATCTTCTTTTGATGTAGAATTAAAAAGGAAGGTTATCATGCTGAAACTTACGAATTAGAGAAGACAGGTTTGCCATATTCTGAATTATTACTAACATTTTCTAAACACTTAGCAATCTGTTAGGACCCTAGGCATATTTATAAAATTAACTGTGTATAATGATTTTTTTTTTCTCTCTGATCGCCTCCCTTTCTGAACTTCCATCTCTAGACTCCTCTACTTTTTTAGGTTTCATTAATTCATTAGCAATTTTTATAAATTTCCTTCTGTGCCAGAATGCATTCAAGGCTCTAAGATAAGATTGAAATCAAGATAAAGACCCTGGACACTTGTGACAGAAAATCTAATGAGTGAATAAAAACAAATACAAATCACCGTGAGTGAGTGATAATGACACAATAGGAGTAAACAAAGGGTACAGTAGGAGTCTATAAGAGGGGCACCTACCCCCAGTGTGGATATTTAGGAAGAGCTTATAAGGAGGAGGACATGATTCATTTCTTAAGGACTTCCCACAAGAAGTTCTGCTCTTTAAAATGTCCCTTCACTCTTACTTCCCCATTGAAAACTAATTTTCTTGTCTCTGAAAATAAAGCAAAACTTAAATGTACGTGGGGGTTGGTCCTTTTAAGGATCATTTGCCCTAATAATAGGAGTTTATTAACATAAAAGTACTTATAATTGATTAATGGTGACATGGAAAGTTGAGAATTCGAAGGCAACCTCCCCCAATCATAATAAAATATTACTTAACATTTATGAATCCTTAATATTTGTCAGGCGTCAAGCTAAACACCTTATATACATTATCATATATTCAAGTGAAGTATGCAAGCACAGCAAACTCTTTAACTACAACTATCTGTTTCCCTCATCTTTTATAGGCATTCTCTTCTCTATAGACACCTGAAAAAAAAAGTCTGCTTGTGAAGCCCAGTAGCACAGCAATCACCAATAGTAGAAAGCTTTAATTCATTAATTTTCAGCTTTTGTGAGGTGGGTTTGAAGAACTGGGAAGCATGAATATAGTTTGAGAAAATACATTTAATGTTATAATTGCCTTTATTTTTATTGTCACAATGTCTCATTTAGTTTGAAATTTCAAATAATTGTAAAGGAGGTGAGAAGGCATTTATGTTTCCAAAAGTGATCATGGATTTTTTGTTTGTTTGTTTTTTGAGTTCAAGTCTCACTCTGTTGCCTAGACTGGAGTGCCGTGGCCACTCCCGGCCACCGCAGCCTCCACCTGCTGGGCTCAGGCGATCCTTCCGCCTCAGCCTTCCAAGTAGCTGGAATTACAGGCATGTGCTACCACGCCCGGCTGATTTTTTGATTTATTGTACAGATGAGGTCTCGCCCTGCCTAGGCGGGTCTCGAACCTGTGGGCTCAGGCAATCCACTCACCTCAGCCTCCCAAAGGCGCGGGATTACAGGCTGAGCCACCGAGCCCGGCTAGTGAATGAATTTTAAAAGATTTCATAAATGCTGCTTCTTAGATTTTGAGACTCTCTGATTCTATTTATCTTATTATGAAATTTATGAAGAATGCTTTTGAACTTGATTTATGTGTTCATACCTGTCCTATTTTATAGCTTTCTTAATTACTTGAAGGCAGCAACATTGAACAGACAAAAAATATTGAATTCTAATGAGCTATCTCTAGCCTGCTCTTATTAACAATTTACTATTTTGTGAGAGTGGTGAATTTGTGAGCTCCAATACTGTTTAGTCTTTAGTAATCTCTGGTCATGAAGGGGAACGCATTTTTTAATGTTGAAAGTCAACTTTATTGAGATAAGATTTACATAGTATACCATTTTAAGCATAGTTTGATGGTTTTGAAAAATGAATATATGTATTCATATAACCATTACCTTAATTACGAAATAGAACATTTCCATCATCCCAGAAATTTCCTTCATTTCACTTTGCAGTCATTCCCACCTCTCTTCCTCGCTCTATCTCTAGGCAGTCACTATTCTGCTTTCTGTAGCTATATTGTACTTTTTCCTTTTCTATGTTGGAATCATACAGTGTTTACTCTCTTTTGTACTGGCTACTTTTGGTTAGTATGATGTTTTTATGAGTCATCCATGTTTGTTGTATGTATCAGTAGTCCTTTTTTTTTTCCTTTTTCCCCAGGTAGTATTTCATTATATGGATATATCACAATTTGTTTATCCATTCATCTGTTGATGGACATTTGAGTTGTTTCTGGTTCTTCTATAAACAAAACTGCTGTGAACATTTGTGTAACATTCATTGTATGGACATGAATTTTTATTTCTCTTTGGAGTAAAATTCCTGGGATATATGTAAATGTATATTTACCTTCATAAGAAGTTTTCAAATGACTTTCCAAAACATTTGTATACTCCCACCAGCAATGTTATGAGAGTTCCAGTTACTCCACCTCCTTTCCAGCACTGCTATGATTAGTGTTTTTAGCCATTCTGGTTGGTGTATGGTGGTATCACATTGTGGTTTCTATTTGCATTGTCCTGATGATTGCACATGTTAGGCATTTTTGCATGTGCTTGTTGGCCATTGGTGTTTCTTTATGATAGGTTTGTTTATGTCATTTGTCCCCTTTAAAATTTGATTCCATTATTACACTATAAGGTTATTAAAAACATATAATCTGGATACAGGTCCTTTATCAGATATTTGTTTTGTGAATATTTCTCTCTGTAACTTTCCTTTTCATTTTCTTATCAGTGTCTTCATAAGAGCAGATGTTTTAAATTTTGCATCTAACTTACTTGTCTTTTTCTTTATGGTTTACAGAGATCTGTTCCCACCCTAAGTTCTTGAGGATTTTTTTTCCTATGTTTTCTTCTGAAACATTTTAGCTTTTTGTTTAGACCTATGATTTACTTTAATTGAATTTTTGCATAGGGTATGGTTCAAGGTTCAAAGTCTACATTTTCTATATGAGGATCTAGTTATTTCAGTCTTTCATCTATAGTAATACACACACACAGCATATATACATATACACACAGCATATATACATATATTTTTTATTAATGTATTTTCTTTAACACATCCGTTGGGTTGTACACAATGGTATTTAAAGTTGTTGCTCTTTGTATAAAAAATTTATTTAGAAAAAGTTTTTATTTTTCAGTCATCTATTGTCTTCATGTTATTTTGCATGTTGACTTTGCTGAAATGCTTAGATTCTGCAAAGCTGGAAGTATATATTAAGACTCTGGCTAACACAAAGTTTAGGATCTTCAGATCTGATCTATGATAAAACAGCCCTGGGTACTTATCAGGGTTTTACTCCAGGAAATTCCTATTCCTTTGGTTTGGTTCCCCTTTCTCTCATCTTGCCTTGGCAATTTTCATTTGCTGTTTAACCAGACAGAAAAGTTCTCCTGTAGGAGTCAGGTGAGTATATGAAAGAGGTTAAATAATTGGTTGAGCTCACAGGTGCTTTCTCACTTTTTCTTTTTTCTGTGAGCCATGTTTTTTCTTCCCCCTGAATTCTTTCCTTTCTCTTTCCTTCTCAGGGTAATAGCTGCAGGTATTCTGTAAGCACCTTCTTTCTTTCTGTAGTCTGTTTGCCTGAGTATGTTTTCTTGAGAATAAGATTGGATTTCTCTAGAATTTTCCTTGGGATGCTCCTTGCCTAATGTTCTAAAGTGGTTCATTTTCTTGGGTTAAACACCAATTAGGGCACCAAAAATGCAGGGTAGCCAGGGAGGATTTTATATTACAGATAACTAGCATAGATGAACTGTTCTTCTGTGAATGAACTTTTCTTCTGTCTCATCTCTAATACTTCATCTTTTCCAGTTTGACTTAGCTGTTTTTAATATTGGAGCAATTCTGTTCTTCCTCTCCAGTGAGCACCCAATATATGTGACTCTCCATGATGTTCGAATGTTAATTTTGTTTATGGGGGTTTGTGTTCTTATTTTATATGTGGGATTCATGTGCTACCTTGTGTTTCTCCAAGTAGAACACAGTTCATTATTAATATATAATTATTTTCTTTTTCCTTCTCTGTTTTCTCTTCTTTCTCTCTTTACCCTGTGGTTCTTGTGCAGGTCTTGTTCAGCGTTGTGTAATCATCCAGAAAGATGACAATGGATTTGGGCTGACGGTCAGTGGAGACAATCCAGTCTTCGTACAGTCTGTCAAAGAAGGCAAGGCATTTTAAAATAGTTTTGTCACTTGGGAGCAAACAGCAAGAATAGAAAAACTTAAATAAGTAATGTTTATTGTCCGGAATAGAATAATTACATAGATTGCAGGTCATATGGACTATTAATGCTTAATTTGTAGTGTCATGGTCATAGGAATGAATTTACCCTAGCTGATATTTTTTATATTTTATAGAAGGAAAATAGTTCTTACATAGTTTTAGAAATCATGTGACTCCTTGATTATGATACTTAATGTGTCAACACCTGAAGAGCTTCTAGAATTTCAAGTTTTCATGGCACCAGTGATATTTTGGTAGAGACAGATTAAAGAGATGGTTATAGGCTCAAGAATATCAGTTATTTTCCCAAAACAACAATATTTTCTGATATTATCATATACTGAATACTTCTTATATGTTACGTGCTATAATTTGAGGTAGATAATTTTGTATCCCTATTTTGTAGATGATATTGAGGCTTAAAGTAAAAAAACATAAAATCAGTACAAGGTCACACAACTAGTAAATGACAGAGGCAAGTTTGAACTTGAAGTCTGTCTGACTTTACAGCCCATATTTTTAACCACTTTGTTACAGTGACTCTTTGTCAGTAAATGCAAATGAATCACATTTTAAGTAGTTAATTTCTCGTACAGATGGAGCAGCCATGCGGGCTGGAGTACAGACAGGTGATCGAATCATCAAGGTAAGGCAAAGACTATTATGGAATTAATGGTGGAATTAAAAAACAATATATATTGGCTGTATTCTGATTTTTTTTCACTTGGATTTTTATAAAAAGCCCCATATTACATATGATAGATCTGTTGACTATAAAAATTTGTTTTACTTGTTTTAAAATTATTATTATCCTTTACTGAAGAGGTTTGAAAAAATGGAGTAATATATGTTCTTGGGTAGGGGAATATCTCACTGTTGTAAAGATCATTTTTCTCCAAATGAATCTGTTAACAAGAAATTCTCATCACAGTATAGGTTGAGCATTTCTAATCTGAAATCCTAAATGCTCCAAAACCTGAAACTTTTTGAGTTTACGTGGAAATTACGTGGAAAATTTCACACCTGACCTCATGTGATGGGTCACAGTCAAAACACAGTCAAAACTTTGTTTAGCCAGGTGCGGTGGCACGAGCCTGTACTCTCATCTACTCGAAAGGCTGAGGAGGAAGGATTGCTTGAGCGCAGGAGTTGAGACTGTAGTGCACAGGAGTTGAGACTGTAGTGCACAATGACTGTACCTGTAAATAACCACTGCATTTCAGCCTGTGCAAAATAGTGAGACCCTGTCTCTTAAACAAATCAAAACTTTGTTTCATGTACAAAATTATTTAAAATAGTGAATAAAACTATATTCAGGCTATATATATAAGGTGTGTTTGAAACATAAATGAATTTCATGTTAAAACCTAGGTCACATCTCCAAGATGTCTCATTAGGTATACGTAAATATTCCAAAATTCAAAAAAATCCAAAACACTTCTGGTCCCAAGCATTTTGAATTTGGAATACTCAACCTGTATATGAATAGAATTGTGATGGTGGATGTCAATTTGATTATTCTTCCAAGTGAACTTTACAAAGGTATAAGAATAACTAAAAGAAAAGTTTGTTATAACTATGGGTATGTATGAAAAGAGATGGTATGGCTTCATTTAAAATATGTGACTCTAGTCTAAACATAGACCTACCAGTGGAACATAGTAGAGTATAGAAATAGGCCATGAGTTCAGATCAGTGGAGAAAGAATGAATTAGTCAGTAACTACTCTTGAAACAATTGACTAATATGATTACTTAAAATCAAATTATTATATAAGAAAAAGTAACTGTGAACATATTTTACAGACAATAATTTGGAAGAAATATTTGAAATGTATCACAGAACATGATATGCTTAATTGTAAAGAACACTTTAAAATTACTAAGAAAACAAATATTCTAGTAGAAAAATGAGTAAATAATTTTATCAGGCAACTCCCCAAAGTAATTGAAACAAATAACATTAATGGAGATATGCCCAATCTCACTAACAGCCAAAAAGTAGAAATTAAAATGATAAGTAAAAAATATATTTGGTTGTCAGAAAATTTAAGGATTAGTAATGGTTTGGGTATGATAAAAGAGTTAGTCTCCTAAGTTTGTTGTGAATATAAATTTGTTAAAATCAGTTTGGATGGAAACCTATGAATATGTATCAAAAGCATTTAAGATAGTATATAATCTTTGACCAACAATTTTGCTTTGAGGAACTTACCAAAGGAAATAAGTATACAAATGTGAAATGATATATGTACAGGGAAATTTATTTTGGGTTTTACATAACTTTGTAAACTTAGGGCTAGAAAAATAAGTTATGTGTAATCTACATCTTCTAAAAAGAATGGATTAGGTCTATGTGTACCTATATTGAAAGATATTTACAGTACAGTGAAAAAAATTGTTGTTGCAGGATAAAAGGCAACTTTAATATGTATGTTTGTAACATTTGTAAACATCCTAGTTAACAGTGATTATATCATGAGGCATGATACGTAAACTTTTACTTCTTTTTAACACACTGATATATTTGAGCTTTACATTAGTATTACTGACATCAAATAAAAAATAATTTTTTTTAAGTGAGAAAGCAGGATTTATTGGGAGAACAGAAAAGTTCCCACAGTAGGAGAGAACCCGAAGGGGTTTCCCCCAAAATAAAACTAATATTATATCCATGTTTGATATTTTTTACATTAATTTTTTGGGTAGTGGAGAATTTGGATTCTACATTTAGCCTGTCTGAAAATTAATTTTCTTTATAAAGTTTAAGTCGTGGTTGAAAAACTAAAGGTAAATTGAGTATTATTGTAGAAATACTGATTATAATTTATTTTAAAATTTATTATAACTTTGGCAAATTGATGATAATTAAAAACAAAGAGATTTTCTATTTGTTTTTTTTTTTTCATTAATCAGTATTTTTTATTATGGTTTTGTGGGGTACAGTTAA